CCTCCACCTCGGTTCCCAATTCTAAAAAGAGGATTTGAGGAGCTTTGCAAAAATGCATGCCATAAAATAAGAGAAATAGAGAAGAAAATAGACAAATAGGAAGCCAACAAAGAATGAAATGATGGGATCTGCAGGAGACTTAGCACAATAGAAATGCATTAGATTCTAGTGCCATTAGAATTCTATGCAATTATCAAAAGGTGCCACACATTTTGCTGATTTTTTTCTAGCACCAAATGCAAAAATAAAAATATTTGTTATTTGTTTCACATTTTCTATTTATAAAGTTCATCCATTGCTTCAAGAAAGCAGATTAAAAAAAAAGAAAGAAAGAAAGCAGATTTTTGCCCTTATTCCATTTGAAGGATTTTTTTTATCACAAATTGTCACTAATGGGACATAGAGTAGGAGGAAAGTAGGAATATAGAGAACAAAAAAAAAAAAAAGTGGGTGTGGAAGCAGAGAGTGTACCTACCACTCAGCCTAAAAGACTCTGATGGTCGTTAGACTCCCATGACAGACAGCAAGAGGCAATTGACCTCCGGAAGGAGGTACCGCACTGTTTAATTTCCTGTAAGCCTCTCAAAGTTTTCTGTTTAGGGGCAAATTAGCAAACAATAGTCACTTTCCTGTCTGCAGGGCTCAGAGATCTTCTTTAGCTAGCTTAAGCTTATTGAAAATCTGGTCATTGATTGCATAAAACCATTTTGCAATAAATGTAAATGAAGTGTTTTAGAATATTTTATAGCAAAGGGAGAAATCCCCAGTTCCCTCCTTCACTAAGCTAGTGGCGAATATAACAGAAAATAAACTAATATATGGTCTCTTTCTGTGTTAATAGCTAACGAGAGTATATCACTGGTTTTGGTCGTTTTCAACTTTTTCTCTTTCTCTCTCTCTCTCCTTGTTCTCTCTCTCTCTCTCTCTCTCTCTCACACACACACACACACACACACACACGTGTTTGCCTGAGACATCAGAATGGAATGGGTAATAAAGGAAAAATTCAAGTAGGTACTCATATGACCACTGTCCTTCCCTAAATAATAACCTAAAATGTACGACAAGTGCCTTTATTTTACAGTATTTATTCAATTAATCATGCGTGTTAAAAAAAATGACACTCTAGGGAGATTTCTCCTCCATTAAAAATGTGAATTTCTCTGTTGAGGGTTGGTGGACATAAAAGTCTTGGCAGACGGGAAAAGGCATCCTTCCAAGCACAAGGCTGAATATACGAAAGGGCCTCATGAATCCTTACCGAGTTGAGTATCTTCCTTCTTCACTGATATTAACAAAAGGTAGGGGGAGAAAGAAAGATAAACTCCATTTGGTAAAAACACCAAAGGGCAGAAAACCAGCCCCAAAAGAGGCAGAAGTCTCCGGTACACCCCAGATGCTTCCACTGTGACCGCCTGAAATAGGCAGCAGAAGGAATGGGAAATGCATAATGGGGAACGAAACTAGCAAGCTGGACTCTGGAATATGTTCTTCCTCTTTTCAAGCATCCTTGGCCAGTTTTATTTCTGGATGGAGACAGGGTCATCACAATTCAAGAATTAACTCAAAAACAAAAGCAGGACAAGAAAGGTTTGCAAAGCCTATCCCATTGGGTATACGGGAGCCATTTATTCAGTGTGGCTTCATTTAGCACAAGTTGGTCAAAATCAATAATGTTTTGGTAAGTGGTAATTGTTGGAGAAATGACATGAAGAATGGATCTGAAGGTAAATAGGCATTATAACCACAAAAAAGGAAGGACATTTACAAACTAAAGGTATGTACGCAACACGGGAGAATAGGCGAGCTGCCAATGGAATGGGCTTCATAATGCCTCTTGCCTAATGCAGCATCTGGAAGCTTCATAAAATCACTTTAATGGGTCAAGCATTAAAGGTCCTGAGATGAATACATTTTTAAAACAATTGCATTGTAATTCATTTGGATTCATATAACAAATAAGCTATTCAATCATTTACAAAAAAATTTTTGATACATACATAGGACAATTTCAATAGGATAACTAGAAAGGAAAAAATAGCTTGGCCCACTAGCCAGAGGGAAAGACCCAACTGCGCGGGCACAGCAGGAGCAGGTGGTGTCAGGAAGGCCCTGTAGTCCAGGTGAGACTCCAAGAACGTGTCACACATCCATCCCAGTTCATTTTGCCCACTTTCCCACTAGACTCACTTATGACACATTAAGGAGTAATAGGTACAAAGGATGGGGAAAGGGTTGTGTGTTGCTACCCAGGAGTTCCACTCAGACCCACCCAGGTAAACTGAGCAGCACAGGTAAGCCTTCCTTCAGCTCACCTCTTTGGCACGCTTGCTATCTCTGGTTCGTATACACCTACAGCTTGTAGTGACTCTGATCTTCCGCGTGACTTTCCTGGGGCAATGCTCATACCTCCTATCAGAACAGAGGAGAAGGAAAGGCTCGTGTTTGCTGGACTGTATGACCCCTTTCCTAATCGGACTATCCCTTCAGATCAAAGCCTTCAGAGATATGCTGGAGGCAATTGGCATTTCCAAACCTTTAGCCTTATATAATTTCTTTCACTTATTTAGGAAACTGCTGGACTCTCTTTTATATGTTGCTGTGATTCAAAGTGTGAGTAATTGGGATAAGAATACTGGCTATCTTTAGAGGAAGGCACTTTAGATAAATTGAGAAAATTAAACACCATTGCTCCTGTAAAATGCCAGTGGAAATAGCTTTGATAGATAAATGTTCACTTTTCCTTTTGTGATGTAGGACCCTAACCTCATTTTGTTTCACAAACATCTCATTCTGGAGAAGGAAAGGATTTTTATTTTTAACTGAAACGACCATACATCAGTAAGTACCCAGTGCTAAGATGAGCCTGAAGAAAAGGTTAGAAGTATGATGAGTCATCAACTGACAATAAAGAACCTGATTAGTTAACATAAAACATTCCACTAAAGATAAGATGTGAAATGTAAGGTCTGCTGGCTGGGAAAGTGACTAGTGCAATCAAGCGTGCCTCCACATCCTGCGGGTCCATCGTGTATGGTGGCGCTAACAAGGTTTTGGGAGATTGTTTCTTTTCTGCTTCACAGGAGAAATTCACGCTCATGAACAGCATTAAAAATTTTTTAAATTTCTTAAGCATCAAGGTCAGTTATTCTAATATCTTAAAAGTCATATTTTTTTATTTTGTTTTTGTACTTTGGAGGAACTTGTCTAAATTATCTTTTTATGTTTACCATATTTGGAGTCTTCACTAAAATCAAACTGATTTATATCTCCTCAAGTTCAGCGGCTTTCCCTACCTTTTCCTTTTTACACGACGTGAAACTTCTAAAGCAGGTCAAAAAGCCCCAAACCTGAAAATGGGGAGCATCTTTGGCAGTAATGCACCTTCTGCAATTACAGTAGACTAGATGGGGTGTCAGAATTTTAGAGCTCAAGAAATAATTCAAGCCTATCGGCTCAGAGGAGGTCCTTAAAATCCCCTTTATAATTTCAGCTTCCTGGTGTTTATTGAAACCAAAACAACAAGAACTTTCCCAGACACTGGATTAGGCCCTTAACAAATGCGCTTGTAACACTATCTCCTCAAACCAACTGCCATCTTGGACTGAATGAGTTAGACTCTTAATTTCATGTGACTGAAAAATAAATTAACATAAGCTAAAGATTAGAAAGAATTTATTGCATCATGTAAATAAAAAGTCCAAGGAAGACCTGACTTTAGGTATGGGTTTCCCTCTCACTGTCTCAGATCCACATCCTCTGGGTTGAGTTCATTTTCAGACAGGCTCTTCCAACAACTGCAAACCTTTCATCCTCTCAGGTTTAATTATTTTAAAATAATATACTCTTTTCCCAGAAGTCCATATGGTCTCTGTGGCAACTACTCAGCTCTGCCAATGCATCATCAAAACAGCCATAGGTAAGAAGTAACTAAGTGGGTGTGAGGATGTGCCAATGGAACTGTTTCCAAAAACAGGTAGCGGTCCAACTGAGTGTGCAAACCAATCCCTGATCTTGATTATGGCGATGGTTTCACAAGTGTGCACATTTATCAAACTTATTAAATTGTACACTTTAATTACATGCCTCCATAAAGCTATTAAACAATAAAAACAAAACAAACGACCTTAGCTTCCCCAACACAGGTTGAATAAAGTCTTATCTTCCTACCGTGGTGCACAAGTCTGCCTGGGAACTAGCCTTTGTGTTCCTCCTCTGTCAGGTTCATTGTCAGTCCTGGTGGGATGTTATGTTTGTGAGGCCGAACACACACATCATGCCATTTAAACTCTCTGCCTTAATTTAGATCTTTTTCTCTCTCTGTCTGGAATGACCTACTCCCACCAACGGTAAGATTAAACTTGTGCGTCTACACTGCTAAGATGCCTTCTTTCCTTCCCTCTCTTACGCCTACTGTTCCCTTTGCTTCATCTCTCTGCCCCCATAATACTTGTATATTTGTGTGTGTGTATGTATATGTGTGTACACGTACACACATATACACTCTTGCATGGTTACATTGTTCTATAATTTTAATCATATGTCTGAAATTTTTCTACGTATTTAAAATTAAAATGTATTATTACCCAGTGTCTGAATACTTGACTGAGTGCTCCCTGTGTCTGTTACACCCATCACAGTGCCTGGCACATTCCAAAAAACAAACAAACAAAAACGCACATACACACACACAAAAAAAAAAAGCAAGGGGAAAAAAGTCAATAAATCATGGCAGCCTTTCTTATAACCATTATACGGGGAAGAAAACTGATATGTAGAGAAATTATATATTTAGTCCATAGGCATATGGTTATAAATGGCTAATCCAGAACTGGAAAATAGTTCTGCTGTATCTAACCTTAAATGCCTTTCACTAATCTTTGTACTTGTTGTTGTTTGTTTTCCGTTATTGTTTTCTTTTGTTTGGTTGGAAGCTTTACTGCATTTCACACTGTGACGTCTTTTTCTGACTCTGCCGCCGCTCTTCTTTCATTTCCTAGATACACCAAAATGAAGACTGCCACCAACATCTATATTTTCAACCTTGCTCTGGCAGATGCCTTAGCAACCAGTACCCTGCCCTTCCAGAGTGTCAACTACCTAATGGGAACGTGGCCATTTGGAACCATCCTCTGCAAGATTGTGATCTCCATAGATTACTACAACATGTTCACCAGCATATTCACCCTCTGTACCATGAGCGTTGACCGCTACATCGCAGTCTGCCATCCCGTCAAGGCCCTCGATTTCCGCACTCCCCGCAATGCCAAAATCGTCAATGTCTGCAACTGGATCCTCTCTTCAGCCATCGGTCTGCCTGTGATGTTCATGGCGACAACAAAGTACCGGCATGGTGAGTGATGCTGCAGCCTGAGGGATGGAGGCTCTGTGGACAGATATGCTGGTGAAGTCATGAGTCAGATAGAGTTTATGGACTGGTCCAATGCCATAGTCAAACTGTAGCTTTAATGATTCTAGCAAAATACTTTTGAATATTTTGAAGTAAGATTTTTTTCCCTATCATTTTAAGCCAGTAAATATTTCAAAGAGAATATAATCCATAACCTATGGGTTCCTAATTTCTCTGCACTTCATCAGAATGATGGGAAATTAAGAACGTGCTCTTTCAAGAGCAATGAGAGCTTAAATCCAAAGAGCATTCAGTGGAGCCTTCTTTTAAAATCTCAAGTGTCCACCCACATGACAAATTTATCCCTTTAGGCTTCATTTCAGAATGAATGAACCACCCATCAAAAAAGTGGACTGAAAACAACCATTAGCTGGAAATTCCTATAGACTTTGGGCAGTGATTATTTTGTCAACAGAGACCCCACAGAGGATCTGGTTCATGGTGAGAGGTCCATAACTGCTGGTTCAATGAAAGCTTAATGTCATTTAAAATGGACAAGAAAATGAGATATTTGGAAAAAATAACTTTCCCTAAAAATCAACAGAGATCTGAGTTTCTTCCATCATTTCTTTAAATCTTCCCTTTCTGGCTTGGGTAGTCATAACCGCAAGTTAGCTCAGGTCAAGGCTATAAATTAGAAAGAGAAATGGCAATATTAATACCTAATGACATAATTAAATGTTGTGGCTAATTCCTCCTTGTAATTCTTTACTTCTAGGTTCCATAGATTGTACGCTAACATTCTCTCACCCAACCTGGTACTGGGAAAACCTGCTGAAAATCTGTGTTTTCATCTTTGCCTTCATCATGCCGGTCCTCATCATTACAGTGTGCTATGGACTGATGATCTTACGCCTCAAGAGTGTCCGTATGCTCTCTGGCTCCAAAGAAAAGGATAGGAACCTGCGAAGGATCACCAGGATGGTGCTGGTGGTTGTGGCTGTGTTCATTGTCTGCTGGACTCCCATCCACATTTACGTCATCATTAAAGCCTTGATTACAATCCCAGAAACTACTTTCCAGACTGTTTCCTGGCACTTCTGCATTGCTCTGGGTTATACAAACAGCTGCCTGAACCCAGTCCTTTATGCATTTCTGGATGAAAACTTCAAACGATGCTTCAGAGAGTTCTGTATCCCAACTTCCTCCACCATTGAGCAGCAAAACTCCACGCGAATTCGTCAGAACACCAGAGACCACCCCTCCACGGCCAACACAGTGGACAGGACTAACCATCAGGTACGAGGCTTCTAGAATTGGGTGTGCCTGCTGGGGATGACATAAAAATTTAAAGCTTTGCAGCAATCCAAGAGTTTAATCCATTAGAAGTGGATCAGTAACTGGGGAACTGAGGTCAGTAGGAGGACCAAGGGAGGAGGGGAGCAAATTATGATCGTTGTGACAGAGTCACTTCGTTATATAAACTGAGCTTTGTATATTTTGTACATATTCCTTTAGCTACAGAGACATACCAATTAGAAATCCATAGATCTGCAAAAATTCTGCTATCTTCACAGCCTTTTCTTCTATCCAAAACTAATGACTTCAGCACATTGTGGAAGTGACCCTAACCTAGAATTCTTCTCATCTCCCTCCATGTTAGGTATTTCATGCATACCACTCCAACGTCCCTGTCACTTCTCAAAAGCCAGTGGTTCTGTAGTTACAGCGGAAGTGCCAGCACTTTGCCCCGTGTGGTTAAGGATACAAGACGTTCCCAGTGACTCAGTGTCACAGCAAAAGCGAAAAGAGAATTAAATGACTGGCCTTAACTTTGTTAAGCCATTGATTTGCAAACTTTTATACCGGAACTCAAGAGCAAACACCAAACATATTACTCAATGATTAGAATTCAATTAGCTTTATAACACTCATCATACCAGATGAGGTTAGTATCACAAGGAGTGACTATTTGTTGGAAGATGCATTTCAATTCACAGAAGAGTACAGACGGAAGCCTGCGTGGAAGATTCAAGATTTATACACAACAGTACAATGACATGAGAAATCAAAAAAGAGGAAAGAGGAAAGTTCATTCCTCAGTTAGTGCTATTTTGTTAAGCCGCTGGTTTGGAAAATTTGGAGTCTGACCTGTAAAGCAAATCCATCTCTTAAATTGTTAATATTAATTTAAGTAAGTAAATTTCCGAATAATGATGCCAGCATCCCAAAATCACAGCCTGTGTAATTCCCTAACACAGAACTCAAATGCAGACTCCCTAGGAATGTAAATCCTCGTGTCAGAACCTTTTATAAAGCTCCCAGGGTCAGGGGGCAGAACTGTGAGGACAGATGGTTCCATTAAAATGAGCAGGGAATCAAGTCGAGGAGTTCGAGGAGAACCTGGTTCCCTGAGGGTGCAGCTGCTCCCTCCCTGTTTCTCTTCACTGTGCCCCTCCTCGCTGTCCCCTGTGACCCCCACTGCTCCCACCCAGCCCAGCTCAGGCTCACCCTACTAGCTGATCCCAGGACTGATGTAACACAGCCCAGGTGGATCCGCCATAGGAGACATCAAGCCTCGTACCCTCAATATTCAGTAACACCAAAATGCACCCAGGAACTCGCAGCCCCGAAGGTAATGAGGCAATGATGGCAGACCTACTTCCAACCAAACAGTAATTACTAACTTATTATACTTCACTTCTGATTCCATTTCAGAAAGAAATGTCTTTCTACTCTGCTACCATATTTTTTTCCACATCAAGACCTCTAAACCTACTCCTCTTACTAACCAGCTCTCCTTCTCAATGGCTACAGCAGTCTTGTGGATAACTTAAAGAGGGTAGGGATTTAAATAGATTTTTCCCTAAGCTGAGAATAATACATTAAAGAATGCAATTTAAAACTCTCAGTCCTAAACTAAGGTTAAAGCATTTGTACATTGGAGCAATATATTTCTATTGTAGCAAAATGATGGCCCTTCTCAAGGACTGATTCTTTCTCCTTAAGCACCTGCTCATACCCTCCCTCTCCTTTCAGGCACCTTAGCGTGTGGCTGTGGGTATTGTAACCCTGGACCGCTGCTGGGGGCTCTTTTCACACCGGATCCTCTCAGCATCCTCTAGTTGCCTTGCTCTCCCGGAAATACAGCTCCCAGCCTGTCTGGTTTAGCGTCTTCCCTGAGTTCAGCGTGACTGCCCTTCAGGTGCCCCAACACTGCCCTTGACTCCCCTCCAAATCCAGCGTTTCACATCAGTGTGGTTCTTGCACAGCCAGAGAGAGGAGAAAGGAAGCTAATTGGGGAAGCTCTGTTCTAAGTGACTAAAAGGTTTGCTTCAAAATAACATCCAATTAGGGCTTATCTTCATTGCTGCCTCTATGAAGCAGCACGAGCATCAGGTAACAGCAGCAGCACATTAGCCCTGGGCTTGGCTGCTTTCCCAAAATGCCCAGTGGGGAGGGCCGGACAGAGGGGAGTGGCTGCCAGGAAAAGAGGAAAAGACACTCTGACAGATTTGAAAATTAAGGTAAATCAAAGATCCCTTTTACTAATCTCCACTGACGTGTCATTGTTAGAATAGAGGCAATTACGCACAGATATCTGAAACAATACAGACTTTGGTGATAGTTTCAATACTACACCAAAATAATAAAATGATTTAAGGGAAAATTGGAGACTATCGCTGTGTCTATAGAACATAGTTGATTAGTTGTACAAACCAAACATCTGACCAACAGGTTTTAATTTTTTTTCTTTTTTAGCGTCATGAACCACCACGTTAGGAAACAAAGCTAATTGGATTTTCATTAACATTTTAACTGCTTGTTTGACATCTGTACTGTTGTAGATGTCCTGCCTATGTAATTTGTATTTTTCTCCAAGAAATATATCATACTATATATGTCACACCTCAAGCACATTAGTCAACTTCATATTCTGAAGATCAGAAATCAAACATCAAACCTTCCCAGGGCGTCTGTATTCGGATAACTGTACACTGAGACCAGGTCCATACAACACAAAGTCAAGTGGACAGTTGGCAGTTATCAAGGTAATTTGATAAGCCATGTAAGAAAAATCTGTGCCCAAAATAAACTTTGAGTCATACTTAACACAGTTAAAAGCTATGGGGTCAGCTTTTGCTGCATAACAAATCATTCCAAGATTTAGTTGCTTGAAGCAACCATTTATTTGGTTTGCAATTCTATAGCTCAGTAATTTGGGCTTCTGGTTAGATGGTTCCCCTAGTCTGAGTGGGGCTCACCCTGTGGCCAACAGCTGCTGTTTGATGGGCTGTCAGCCAGCTGATCTAGGGTGGCTGTGGCGAAGATGGCTAGTTCCACATGGGTCCTCATCTTCCAACATCCATGTTCCCCTTGGCTTGTTCTCACGGTGATCACAGGTTCTAGATTCAAAGGGTGGGAGAACAGACTCTGCCTACTGATGGTAGGCGCTGGAGTCACATAGCAAAAGGTTGTGAATATAGGGTGGGGAGTCACTGTGACCACTTCTGCTGACCGTCTACAGTGGGCACTCACTGCATGGGACAGGCACGCTGTCACATCCTGAGAGCCCACACCACATCTGCCTTGCTCCTTCTTGTACCTCCAGGATCTGCCTAGCACAGTGTCTGGTACAATAAAATACTCAGAAAATATCTGTTGTCAAAATAAATGAATGGTTGGAGGGCTCTTGATATTTCAGGAAATATGGAGGTGAGAATGACCCCTTTCTTACTACCGATTAACGACCTAAAGTGTTGTCACTCTGTCACTCTGACATTATATGAGACTCACTGTTCAGCAAGAGGGAAATATTCCCAGGAGGGTTCTTCTTTTTCCCCTCCTCCAGGTTTTAGTCCTCTGATCAAAAGTTAAACCTTTCAAAATTTTTCTTACATTTATGCTTGTCCTCTAATTTTATTTTTATTATTGTTTTTTCTTTCTTTTTATCGAAGAATAGTCAGTTTACAATGTTGTGTTAATTTCTGGTGTACAGTGCAGTGATTCATTTATATATATATGTATATATATATATACATATATATATATACCTTTTCATATTCTTTTTCATTACAGGCTATTACAAGGTATTGAATATAGTTCCCTGTGCCATACAGTAGGAACTTATTGTTTTTCTATTTCATACATAGTAGTGTGTATCTACAAATACCGATCTCCCAATTTCTCCCAACTCTTTTTCCTCCATGGTAACCATAAGTTTGTTTTCTGTGTCTGTGAGTCTGTCTCTGTTTTGTAAATAAGTTTACTTTTTATAAGAACCAGATTCAGTTCCCTAAAGCAATTATGTCCTGACTCAATACAGAAAAAAAAAAAAGAATGGTCTCATATCCTTTCGTGCCTAGCCTGTCGCTCCAGCTGTAGCACTCCGTGCCTGACTCATGTTCGGCATGCCATCTCTTTGTCTTCTAGATCTTCGTTAGGTAGGCTCAGGGATAGGCATTCATTTTCCATCTGCTCTCCATGCAAATTAATTTCTTTGTACATGCACGACCCCGTTGCTACCCTCATCGGACTCCACTTGGCTACAAAACACTTCCACCATTGGCTCAGATCAGTCCAGGTCCAACTCAGACCTGAGATGCTGACCACTACTGAGCTGTCTTCCCTTTCTGGTTTCCTCTCCAATTGCATTCCTTTTTTAATTTCTTTCTCTTTCATTATTTTTATTTTTTATTGAAGTATAGTTGATTTACAATGTTATTTCAAAGCAACTCAATTATACATATACATACACAGATACATGTATATTGTTCCAATCATATTCTGTAATACATTTTTGTTTGAAGCCTAGATTGCTTTTTAATGTTAAACATTAGATGAGAAAAGAAAAATCCATTACAGCAGTTGGATTATTTATTATTTAAAGAGTTTGTATTAACTATAACCATAATAATTATGGTACCTTGCACTTGTATGATAACATGCAGATTAAAAAGTGCTTTTATGTGTCCTATCACTCCAGCTTCCTGTAATAACCCTAGTGGTTAAACATAAAAAAATAAATGTTCAGGGAGGTTAAATGATTATACAAGAACAAACCACCAATGAGAGGCAGAACCCAGACAAACATCTGCGATTCTAATATGAATCCAAAGCTTTTCCCTGCTCTCCCAAAAAATGCCACTTTGCACTCAAATATTAGTGTATGGTCTCAGTCAGAGGATCTCAAACTTTACTACAAGCTCCAGAAAGTGTGATCTCCGAGAAACTCTAAGAAATTCTGGTTCACTGAGTCAAAGTAGAGTCCAACAATCCAAATTTTGAATAAAACACCA